ACCTGAGTGCAATACCCCCACTGATCACCGGACTGCAATACCACCACTGATCACCTGACTGCAATACCACCACTGATCACCTGACTGCAATACCACCACTGATCACCTGACTGCAATACCACCACTGATCACCTGACTGCAATACCACCACTGATCACGTGACTGCAATACCACCACTGATCACCAGGGGGCACTGTGACCAGAATATCACTACTGTATACTGCAATGCAAACAAAAGACACCCAACAAGCGAAAGATGACCTCCGTCCTCCCCTTCAGTCTTCTATCTGACCTCCGTCCTGGAATGGTCACATGTGCCGGAGTTCCACTTTAATGACCGGCACCAGCGAGATGACCAAACTGACCTGCAGAGTCCCGCGAGCCTCCACCCCCCTCCTCATCACCAGGTACAGGGCGTCCTGGTCCCGGGGGGACGATCGCTTCTCTGCAAAGGCCAGAAATATGGAGGGCTCCTCTATGTACAGGAGGGCCGGGATCCGGTACGTCACCCCACTGGGCTCCCGCTGGAACAGCGTTGTCACCTCCGCCATGGCTGACCTGGAGAGAGAGAGCGGGATATCAGGGGCTGCAACCAATCAGAATCATATTATCTATAGAGCTCTGACATATACCACAGCGATGTACAGAGAACACACTGAGCCAGTCACATCAGTCTCTGTACAGAGGAGCTTACACTCTAATGTCTCCCCCCAAGTCACACACTATTATTATACATGTCTATAGCTCTGACATATACTGGGGGGGGGGCCGCATACTGAAAGGAATGACAGAATGGAATGCTTATAGAGAATAATGGGAAGCAAAGTAGAAGATAATTTGCAGGCACGTTCTCCTTTACCGCCGGTCTTCCCCGTGTCTAGTGATATCATTTACAATTGGAGTGAGTTGGGATTTTTCATGTTTTCTATGGAATGCGCATAGAGTATGATGTGAAGAAAGATGGGCCTTGGAGTCAGAACCATTTGGCACATCCTTCCAGCACGGATCCCTGCGGTCCTGGACAGCCATGGCGCCTTTCTGTTGTGATTTTTAGTACCAATGAAGTCATATTTTTTGGATTCCATGAAAGAAAAAGATGAAAGGAAGATGCTGACGTTGTTTTATCTACCGTATTTTTCGCTCCATAAGACGCACTTTTTTCCCCCCAAAAGGAGGGGGAAAATGTGCCTGCGTCTTATGGAGCGAATCCCGACGCCCGAGACATGCAGTTTCGGGCGCCGGGCGAGTAGTAGGAGCCACTGCTCAGCTTTAATACGAGTGATCTGATGTGATCACTCGTATTAAAACCGAGCAGCGGCGACGATCGAGATTACCATAGAGCAGACGAAGAACGGACGTTCTTCGTCTGCTCTGTGTGATCACTGAGACCGTGGCAGCTATAATCACAGCGCCACCTGTCTCAGCGGGCACTAACTGCAGCTTCTGTCATAGAAGCTGTGACAGAAGCTACAGTCTGTCGAGTGCTCCATAAGGCGCGCCGGACCTCCCTGCGTCCTATGGTCCGGTGCGTCTTATGGACCGCAAAATACGGTATTTCTTCTGCATGTCACCGGTTATCAAACTTATCTTTCTCCAAAGAGGAATGGAGAGTTTACCTTGGTGAAGATCCGGTCCAACAATAGTCCTGACTCTGAGCTCTACACTGTACTGAACGCTGATTCAATTATTTCTAGACACCAGTATCATAATGTTGTTAGTCAACACGTTGAAAAATGGATTGCATTAAAGGAGAACTATGGGGTCAGTGTTTTTCCCTATAGTTCTCCTTAGGGTAACGTGAGGACACAAACTAGCGTCCTCCTGTCACCCTAAGCTCAGTATACCGCGAGCTACAGCACCCCGGTATACTGAGACGCCGCAGCTGAAACGGATCCCGACAATTGTGCCGGGATCCGCCCAGCTGCGTGACTGACAGCTGGCTCTGCCTATCTAGAGGCAGAGCCAGCTGTACCCGCCCCCTCCCCCGTCTGTTCCGCCAGTCAGCGCTGGAGGATCGGAGCGGGGAGTGGGGAATCCAGCCTCTCCCCTGTCACGGCAGAGAGCCGTGACAGGATCGAGAGGTGAGCGAGCGCCGGTATGTGTTCGCTCACCTCCCAATCTACTGAGCTGACCTGTGACAGTCTCATTGTCACAGGTCGGCTAGAACTATGAGGTGAGTGAAAAGCACTCGCCTCATAGTTCTCCTTTAAAGGTTCATTTTCTACGCCACACATTTTCCTGGAAATTAGTTCATCACGCATTCCAAATGAAAACAATGATAATCCCTATTAATCTGCTAACATGCGTTGAACAGTACATCTGCTAAAATGTTATTTTAAAGTGACATTAAAGGCAAACAATGTTTCCCCCCCAATGATAATGTCAGCACTCACCTTTAATGATGTCTCTTATTCCGATCTTCTTCTTTCCTGATGTTTTTATCTGTCCCTCCAGCGGTGCGGCGGCTCTCCGATCCTGCGCTGACTCCTCTGTCGTTGCTGGCACTTCCTGTCCCCCGGTGTCTGTGCGGGTGCACGCTGTCCATAGACTTACCTTGTGTCTCTCCTCGTCTACCGGCCAGAAAAACCGAACTGCGCCCGCCCCAAGATGCTTTGCGGCCGCCCGAGAATTTTCACAGACACAGGTAAGTATTAACCCTTTTCAAAGCGGGGGGAACTTTTTGCATATATCTACTGCTTGCTAGCCTCATATATATGCAAAAACACCGGAGGGTTTAATAACCCTTTAATTGTTAACGAATTCTCCCTACAAGGTGAATCTATTATTCCATCACAGTCTATGGCCATTTCATAGTGTAATTCACTCTTCAAAACAATGGTAATCCCACCTAATCTCAATGTTAGTATATGTCACTGCGCGGGTAGAGTATGTCTTCTGATCAGTCAAATAATTCAAAGTCCCATCTTTCTTCCCATTATACTGTTATACCATCATTCTATGTGCGTTCCATTGTGTAATACCTGTCATTCCATCGAAAACAGGACAAATCCGAAGTAATTTCAATTGTAAATTATATTACTATACATGAGGAAGACCTGCGGTAAAGGTTAAAGTGACATTAAAGGACACATTCCCCCCCCATGTTAATGTCAGCACTTACCTTAACTGATGTCTCTTTTTCCGATCTTCCTCTTCTTTCCTGATGTCTTCATCTGTCCCTCCAGCGGTGCGGCAGGTCTCCGATCCAGCGCTGACTCCTCTCTTCCGATCCAGCGGTGTCTGCATGCGGGTGCACGCGCCCATAGACTTACCTTGCGCCTCTGCTCGTCTCCCGCCCGAGAATCCGAACTGCGCATGCGCCCGCCCCCAAAATGCTTTGCGGCCGCACAAACAGTTTCGTTATCTCTGGCGGGAGCGCGCAGCGAAAACAAGGTAAGTTTAAACCGCTGTTAAAGCGGTTTTTTTTTTAGGGCTGGTAATGATTAACATTTTCGTGTTCGATTAATCAAATTTTTTTTAACCGATTAATCGATTAATTATAACGCACATACAGATCCAACTACATTGGCCTATACACATGCAGCGCAGCAATGAAGTCATAAAATGAACTAGGATCACACTAATCCAGCACGTTATTAATCTCACGCACCCCACTCAATATGGCCGCCGCTTGAGTGCGGCAACTCAGAATAATAACGTGCTGGATTAGTGTGATCCTAGTTCATTTTATTGCTTCATTGCTGTGCTGTATGTGTATAGGCCAATGTCTTGGCTGGCGCTCGTGCAGAAAGTTTCTTGGGCAAACTCACCGGCCCAAGTGGCTCCATCGGCTAACGAAGAGGGGAGGAGTCCGGTGACGTCAAGCACATTGGCGTCACCTGACCCCTCCCCCTTCCCTTCGTTAGCCGTCACGGACATCGATGTCACCGCACTCCTCCCCCCTTCCCTTCGTTAGCCGACGGAGCCACTTGGGGAAGGGGGGAGGAGTCCGGTGACGCCGATGTCCGTGACGTCACCGGATCGCCGACGGGACTCCCGGAAGCCGGCGGAGAGGTGAGTGTTTTCATTAGAGATCAAAATAATTTTAATCGATCAAAAAGTTTAACGATTAATCGAGAAATTAATCTTTAATTTCCAGAGCCCTAGTTTTTTTTCCAACTGTTTGCCTATATCTACCGCTCGCTAGCAGCAGATATAGGCAAAAAAAAGAACGGGAGGGTTTAAAATTCCTTTAACTTTTTCAGATTTGCCTACAAATGACCTGATACTTTGCTTCCCATTATTCTCTATGGGCATTCTTGGTGTCATTCCATAGAAGATGATGATAATCTCACCTAATCTCAAATGTAAACAACGCTACTGCGCTTGGAGAGTATGCCTGCTAAAGATTTATTTCATGTGTCAAATGGTTCTGACCCCAAAGCCCATCTTTCCTCCCCATTATACTATTATATCATCATTCTATGGGCATTCCATTGTGTAATTCACAACAGAAAGGCGCCATTGCTGTTCAGGACCACAGGCATCCGTGTTGGAAGGATGTGTCAAAGTGTTCTGACTCCAAGGCCCATCTTTCTTCACATCATACTCTATGGGCATTCGTGTTGTCATTCACCTCTGTCATTCCATAGAGAATAATACAGATGCCACCTCACCTCCATTGTAGAATACGCCACTATGCGTGCAGAATGTGTCTTCTAATGATTTGATACATCAAATAATTCTTACTGCAAGTCCCTTCATTCTTCCCAATATACTCTATGGGCATTCCATTGTGTCATTCACTTGTCATTCTATCATGGAAAACAGGAAAAATCCCGACTCATTCCAATTGTAAATTCTGGGAAGACCTGCGGTAAAGGAAAGCTTGCACGGCGCCATCCGTGGTAATTCATCACTGCGAGCACCACCTTTTTTTCTTATCTGGCCGGGACCGCTGTGGGGACTGCGGAGGGTCTCTCCATCGACTTACATCTGCGGTAAAGGAGAACTTGAAATCTTTTTCAGATTCGCCTACAAATTATCTTATACTTTGCTTCCCATTATACTCTATGGGCATTCCGTTTGGTTTCATTATACTCTATGGGCATTCCCTTACCCTGTCAAAGTCTATGGGCATTCGCTTACCCTGTCAAAGTCTATGGGCATTCCCTTACCCTGTCAAAGTCTATGGGCATTCGCTTACCCTGTCAAAGTCTATGGGCATTCTGTCAAAGTCTATGGGCATTCCATTCTGTCATTCCTTTTAGCATGCCCCCAGACAGAGAACACTGGGCCAGTCACTCCTGTCTCTGCACCATGGTGTGCTAGCTGTATATATTGTAGCTGTCAGTGCTCTGTGTTCTGGGCCATATCACCCCCACCTCCAACAGACCCCCCCTGCAGACACAGAAATGTAAACATACCTCTGTCCCTCTGGTCTGTGCTAAAAATGGCAATAGAACAGCTGTGCTAGGTTGTCTTCGGTGCAGGGGAAAAGATTGTCAGCCGGCGGCCATTTTCTCGTAGTTCATTATTTAGATGCTGTAGCTAAAAGGCAACAATAAAATGGCTTCCTCATGTGGTCTCTTCCGTTCAGTGACAGATCGAC